CCAAATGACCTGAAATTTTACAGGCATCTCAAACACATCAATACCTACAACATCCATGTTTTAAGCAAAGGCCAATTCTGCCTCTAACCATATGATCCAAAATCGGACAGAAAAGGGGGTTTTGAAACCCTAACTTTTCACAATTCAATCCAAACCCACAATTGGTTGCAATTATCAATCATTCACACCTACTAGAGTCATAACCCCTTATTACCAACCATCATAAATAACCACAACACCATGATCACATTAAACCAGAAAATTCCTCAAAAAAATAAAAACTTCACCAATTCAACTCAAATCAAGAAATAAATCACACATTCCATCACTCAAGCCACCATTAGGCACAAAATAAGCATCATTAGATATAAGAGGATGTTCAATCATCACTTACATAGGAAACAAGAGAAGAGGAGTTGTAAACCACCTTAGCTCTTCCAAAAACTTCACCAAACTCACCACTAACACTAAATGGAAAGATTGTATGGAGTGGAAACTAGTTGGTGTGATTGATTTGGATGATTTGAGCTAGTGGAAAGCTTGAAGATTAAAGAAGTTTTCTTCCTTCTTGGCAAGAGAGAGGGCCGGCCACAAGGTGAAAGAAAATGGTGATTTTTTGTGAAATTTTTAGATATTTAACCAATTTGGGTCAAAAGTCAAAAAAGGTGAATAGTGTTCTTAAGTCAAAACCAATCACCAAGTGACACGTGGCACTTCATTAATGCATTCCTATCCTTTCTTTTCTCTCTCACATCAATCATTTCACACACTCTACTTATCTCTTAACACCCGATAAATTTTACACAGTATCCGAAACTTAACCTTATTGGCCGAATTTTTTCGAACTTTTCGCACTAGTGGGGCCCACGTCCATAATCTATCCGTAATTTTTCAAAAACTACCCAATGCTAGAAAACTCATCTAAAAACTATATTTATCCATAAAATCCACCAAGAAAATTTCCTACGCCAGAAAATGCAGAAAACATGCCATTAAAGGGAAAAAACCCTAGGAAAACATTAAGGGAAAATACGGGTTCTCACACCCGCTCATCCCTTTAAGTTGTTATTCCTTAACAGGAATTTGAAGTGAAGAATTGGAGGTGCTAGACTAGCCAACTTTTGTCTAGAGTTAGTATGATTCCCTGAGCGATTTTTGGACATTTGGAAGTGTAGATTTCATTTGTATTTGAAATATTATGTTTGTAATAGTTAACGTTGTTGCCTAAGGATTGTGGCTGTTATTATTCAAATACTTTCTTGGTTTTAAAAAATTGTTTGGCTTGAAAATCGTGATTTGGTTCGAGTGAGTGTATGAGTCCTGACGAGAGTTGGGCAAGCGGTCCGCCAAACTCTTGGGTTCGCCCTAGGGGAGGTGGGGTCGTTACATTTTATATTCCCAAAATTAAAAAAATTTGTTAGTTTTTAGCAATTGTTGCCATTGACATTTCATTTTCTAGACTAATGTATCAATGTAAAATTAGTGTGATTAATAATAATTGAAGTTTCGTTGGTCGAAGAATGGCATGCTATTGCTATTATTTTACATATAAATATTTAACCTAAGTGAAAAAATAAGTAATAGATACTTAAAAAAGGAAATAAGTGCTCATTGAATCGTTCAAACTATGAATTCCATTAATGCATAACTGCTAAATTATATTTTCATTTGTAGGAAATCAATATGCTTCATATATTGATCAGAACTAAATTATTGGTTATTTAAACAAATCATACCTAAACTCATGATGTGATATGTATTGCATTTGGTCACCTTTATACTCATGCCATTGTCCTTTCTTTCTATTTATATTTTAAAGGTCCAAAATTCTCTTGATTATATTAGTGAAAAATGCATAAAATCTTTTACAAAATAATTCCACTTTATTTACAAAATGTTAGTACTCTTAGGAGAAACTATATATTGTAGAAATGGTTTACTAATTTTTTTAGTAAACACAACTACTACGTCTAAAAGGTTAAAAAAACTCGATTTGATTGTGCTTTATTTAAGAGTACTTTTACCAGTAATAATAGGAATAGTAAAATTGGTGTAAATTTCAAAATACAAGCAACATACACAATATTTTGGTTGTTAAGACTAATATAACAAATGTATACCATAAACTAGTTTTAATAAATGTATGCCACAAATTAGTTTATCGTATACATTTATTAAAGCTAGTTTATTGTATACGTTTATTAAAACTAGTTTATGGCATACATTTAATATATTACTCTGATCAATGTAAAAAATTCCCATATTTAGGTGTACATTGCTTGTTGTTTAGAAATTTGTACCAATTTCGCTCTTCCTATTATTACTGGTAAAAGTACTCCTAATTAAAATACAATAAAATCAAGTTTTTTCTACCTTTTGATGTAATATATATGTTTACTAGAAAATTAGTAAACCATTCTTAAAATAAATAGTTTCTTCTAAAAGTGCTAAAATTTTGTAAATAAATTGGAATAATTTTACAAAATATTTTTTGCTTTTTCACTAACATAATCAAGAAAACTTTACACCTTTAAAATATAAATAGAAAGAAAGGACAATGACATGAATATAAAGGTGACAAAATGCAGTACATATCACATCATGAGTTTAGGTATGATTTGTTTAATTAATCAGTAATTTAATCCTGGTCAATATATGATGCATATTGATTTCCTACAAATGAAAATATACTTTAGTGGTTATGCATTAACGGAATTCGTAGTTTGAATGCAATCAATTGAGTACCTATTTCCATTTTTTAGGTAGCTATTATTTATTTTGTTACCCAGGTTAAATGTTTACATATAAAATAAAAGCAATAGAATGTCAATCCTCGGATTAACGGAACATCAATTATTGTTAATGAGACTAATTTTAAATTGATAAAAAAAGTCTAGAAAATGAAAAGTTGATTGCAACAATTGCTAAAATATAACAATTTTTTTAAATTTGAGAAAATAAAAAACTAAGTTCCCAAAATATTTCACTTTTATTTTCTAAAAAGATTTCAACTTGTTAATTAAAAACAAAATTATTCTATTATCAAAATTATTCTTCCTTAAATTAACCTTAATGATTAGATGTGAGATAAAAATAAGGTAAAATATCTCTTATACATATGTCATGGATATTTGAAACTTTTGGCAAACGCTTTTTTGTTGTTAAAATAACATTGTATTATAGTGTGCTTATTATTTTAGGATAGTTTTATACATGAACTGAATTTTATTTAAATTATATAATAGCTTATATATGCATGTGATTTTCATTTAGTGGTTGGATCTCATTTTCATGAACAATCTCCAAGGAAAAAAAGTCCAAATCATGTTTTATATTATTTCTGTGACTTTGATTGTTATATTAATTGTTATACTATGTCTCTCATTTTGTTTGGGCTGCATTAATACAAGTTTAACTCTTATAAATTCTTGTGTCCAAACAATAAATCTATTAAAACTTTATCATCTTATTATATTCACAGGTATTAAATTATATAAACTGTGACATGTAGACAAGTGATATTCTATATATAACTAGGAAAATTTGTTGTTATTGTTTTCCAAACTTTCAAACTTTTCAAAAATTGAAAAATAATGAAAACTTATAATGTGACAAAATTTTATTACATATTTTACAAGGTTACGTGGAATGTCAAAATTTTTTTCATAATATTTTAAAATATATAAATACAAAATATTTTAAAATTATACATACAATCATGTATTATATAGGTTTATTATGAGTACTAATTAACTCGGATACTAAGTTTCAATCATTAATAAAATTCTTATCACTATTTCAAATAAACTTCCTAATACTAGTTTGAGATAAGTTTTTTTTTATTAAAATAGTGAATTTGTGCCATAAATTAGTAAGTTTTGACCATTATTCAAATTTACTAAGTTATCAATAAGAATTACTATTTATGTATACAAACTTACTATTACTTGAACTAGACTACTCTCTAACAAGTAAGCTTGTGATATAAAGTCGTAATTTAATTCTTTAAAAAGTAAATTTCATAATTATTCTAATTTATTTTTTGATGCATAAAAGTTACTAATTTACTACATTGACTTACTCTCTGAAGCGTAAGCTTGTGATATAAAGTAGTAATTTAATTCTTTAAAAAGTAAGTTTCATAATTATTCTAATTTACCTTTTGAGGCATAAAAGTTACTAATTTACTATATTAACTTACTATTTTAGATTAGAAATATACTTCCTTACTTTTATGCGTTATCCACTACAAGAAATTTGGCCTTTTGTGACAATAAAAAGTCATCACTAAAAATCAAAAAGTCGTCATTATATGAGTATAATGACGACTTTTTCCATTGTCACATGGCTTATCACTAATTCTATGTCACAAATGGACACGTGTGACAACCCTTTTAAAGTTGTCATTAAATCTTGTTATTTAATGACAAGGACTAAGTCGTCACTAACGGTTATCATTTTGTGACGAATTTTCTTGTCACTGTTTTACTTATTTTTTTGTCATAAAACATAGCAAAAGTCGTCACAAATTTGAACTCTACAGTGACGACTTGAACTTGTCACTATCATTCCTTGTATTCAGTGACAAGAATAGTCGTCACTTAGCGAACTTACAATTTTGTCAGCTACAATTGTTCATTACAAATATAGCATTGTCACAGCATTTTCGACAATTATAGCAAAAAATTAGATTTGGCTAAGAGTGACAACTTTGAAGGTTGTGACTGAGTTTTGTCTTAAAGAGTTAAAATTAACCATTACAAATATAGTATTGTCCTGGCATTTTCAACAATTATAGTAGAACATTCAATTTGACAAAAGGCAAAATCAATGTAAAATATATGCCGCAAATTCATATATTTGGGCATAACACATCTATAAATTAATCAAAACAAAAGTGAATCACAAATGTTGGGTCCCAAATCCCACATAATCAGTTCTAGTAATGGCCAATACATATCCTTCCAAAAGATAAACTAGTCGATAACTAAGTACCGAGAGAAGAGAGAGGTAGAAAAGAACAGATGAATCGAACCTAGTTTGTGATTTGATAAAATTGGACACTAGTATCTGCAGGACATATAGCTAATAGGTTCGGCAAGCAGATATGGTTCGGGCAGTCTGGCCATCTACAATGTACCGATAGTAATCTTCAACACTTCATCGTTTCTCCTCATCTTTTACTGCTCCTCCTGTTTCTGTCACTTCGTGTAGATTGTTTTCTGAACGAAGCATGCAAAACCAAGACTGCAATCATATTAAGGAGGGGATCAGATTTTGGAGTCCCTACAAAGTTCTGTTTCATAAAAGGAAAAAGCAGTTTGAGTACAAAAATCACTAAGCAGAAGAACTAAAGCCTTACCTGCATAACTTACACTAAGAGCGCATATGAGGGTTACTTGAACATTGGAAAAGAATAGAATAACTGCAGTTGCTGCAAAAGTCAATGGAACGTTAACGTTTAGAAGGCACAGTTAAGTTGATAAGCATCCGAGAGAGTTAATAGTTACATGAATGTAAAATTGCTAAGAATCATCAACTAGAGCAAATGTGACCTGAAATACTAAGAGCCTTGAAACATGACAAACTGGGAATTGATCTATACCACGTACAACAGTGCACGTCTTTCGTCAAAATTAGTTAATCAACTCAGTAATTCTTAAGAACAGTAATTGTTTTGTCCTCCTCCAATCAAGACAAAGCAAATTATACAACAAGGTTCAATCTCAATTAAGTCCTGCAATCTGCAGAACCTATAGCAAATCTTGCACTAATTGGGGACATTATCAAGCAGTAAAAAGTAGATTTGGAGACAGACGAGGAGAAAAAACTTCATTGAACTTCCCGAAGGCCTCAGCAAGAGCAAGAACTGTGGGATCATGAAGAAGTTGAGGGGAAGAATTAGAGGGTCAAAAAGGAAGAGCCCTACAAGCTGATTACCTGATATAATTAGCCTGTTTACTTATGACTTAACCTAATCCAAGAAACAACTTTCTCAGGAATAGGATAATTATCATCAGCCCACTGACTAATGAGAGATGAAAAGAGTTAAGGTTTGGCATCCACTAAAAAGGCTTTAAAATATTCTGGAAGAAGAAATAATCCAAAGAGCTAGAAAGCTAAAAAAATTAAGAATGCATACTTTGACTTGGAGTGAGAGCCTAAGAATGACATGCTTTAAGGAGGCATCATGAACTCACCGAACTTCATTAAGAAAAGAACAGTTTCCAAACCAATCAATTCTGCTTAATTAGTCACGAGCATTTCAATACATATTCCTCAATTGCCAAACATTAGTCAATTATTCGTTCCTGCACTATGCTTATCATCTCCTAACGAAATATGCAACAAGATACTTATGCATCTCCAAGCAAAAAATGCCACAAGAAGAAAAATACAGAATTGAATTTAATAAGGTCAAAACTTACCACATTGTGCAGTGCGAACCAAGGTTCTGCTTTCTTTCTCTCGTGTAAGAGTGGGCTTTGTTACAAATCTCATCGGTTTGGCCTTTGGGGGACCTAAGCTTTACTGTTTATTTGTTCTGCAGCAGTCAATTTCATTCGACTAGTAGCCAAGTCTTATCACTAAACCAAATTTAATGCAAGTGCCACCTTCATCTGTTATGTGTGTGTATAAAATACAAGTAGTAAATAGAAAACCAGACCAATCTATTGTATCTTGCAGTGGCCATGGATTGGATTCTTTTCACACTGCTAAATAGCGGGCATGTTGTGGAGTAATACTTTTTATTCTGGCATTACCAAATTACTAGATTATTAGATAATGGTAATATCCAAGGAGGGCATAACCATCAGAGTGGAAACCGTTAATGTATGAAATTGGGTTGAAGATTTGTACAACTAAATATCTGCTATAAGTACACCAATTTATTCGCTGTTACTAAGGCCTGAGCTAATCACCCATACTTTCGTGTTGCTCTAACATGCAACTCCATAGACACACTCTAAAGACAACACAATTTCATAAAAACAAGCAGTTACAGGAGACCATAACACGCAACCAAAATTTTTCATACAAAACTAGCTCCATGGATCCAATAATTGACACACAAATGTCAGCAAAGGAATGGGCAGCCAAATGAAAACAATGAATAGACAAATGCAAAAGGAAACAACAATAAAGAATAAATAAGAAAGCAACTTACAATAGTCTTCAAACTTGGCACACAACAACTGGAAAGTAGAGCAGCGAAAAAGAGAAAGTATATATACTTTAATACTGCACAACGTGCAAACTATATCACTGAAATGAAAGCAAAGCAGCTGACAAAATGAAAGGAAAAGAGAGTACCAACAAAAAAAGCGCTAAACGGCTCAAACAAGCATGCAAAGTTTCTCAACATCTAAACAATTGACACCTAAGAACCAAGACTGACAAGGAACACTTTTAGCAGAAATTTATGTATAGAAAGCTTTATCTGTAATTTGAGGAACCCTCTCAATGTATAACAGTAGTGTTATATAAAGGAGAAACAAAGAAAAGCCAACAATGATCAGCCAAAAAATGAACCTCTAGTTCAGCTTTGTCTCAACTATGGATATTGGGTGGTTCTTTTAGTGAAGATCTTAACAGCATTGAAGTGGGCTGGCAGATATGATATTTTGACTAAAACATCAAGATACTTTTAATATTCGTTTTGCACTATTTTAGCCTAATTGAAAGGTGCATGTGATTTCTAACAGGTAAGCCCGGACCTTTATGATGACAACAACACAAGGCTTTTTACCTATAGGACTATAAGTTGCTCAAAGATTTGTTCTTTTCAAATGAGTTTCATTTACTATCAGCTGATGAGTGACAATAATGGCTTCTTATGCATCCCTGACTTCAAATTTGCAGAGTGATGCATATCAGGCCATGGGTTGCTACAATCTACTTTGCTCAAGGTTCATTCAAATCAACAGTGAAATAGCAATGGGTGCAAGCATCTCCCTGTTTCTGCCTTCGAAATTCCAAAAAGCACTGGTCAAAACTAGAGGTTCATCCTCCAACAAGCAATCCTATTTGTCCCAAAAGAGACTAACCAAAAACAAAATATAGCCACAAATTTCCTCAGCTAAAATTACCACCAACAATTTGCTCCAAAAGTGCCACATAAACCATCAAATCCTGCTCCCAACACATTCACCATTTCACGAGTCACCCAAATCAACCGAGTTTTCACCATTTCACGAGTACCATCTCTTAATAGCATGTAAGTGCTTCAAGTGGACTTCGGCCAAGTGGGTTGACATAAAATTCCACAAAGAATTGTTTAACGTGGACTTTTCCAACTGAGTTGGAAGTTTTAAAAGAAAAAAGGTCTGAGTTGGGGTCAACAAGAATGCATAACTAGAAAGAAGAGGGGATAATAGCTGGAGACCCTCTCTTTCACTTCGTTTCACTCTCACAACTCTCTCAATCTCTCACCATTGAAAGATTAAGTGGAAAACTGGGACCATAAATTCAAGATTCAGTCTACCCTACCTGTATTTGACAAAAAATATCGAAAATAGATAGAAAATATTGACATTATTTACCTCAAATTATGCCTTCAATCCCTTAGCTCTTGTTTTCCTCAACATTTAATCTTCAAACTCTAGCTTCTCCCAAAATTCAGGGCAATTTTCCGTGTTCGTTCTAGTGAGCAAGTGTTGCATTAATCTAGGGATTTTTGCTCTCTGTGAGGTCAATAAGCTGTCCAAATATTTTGGGCAGCTCAAATTAGGGACGAAAATGGTGATTTAAAGCGATTTGGTGGATAATTTCAATGATAGTAGAGTATAAGAAAATGGAGAAGATGATACTACTATTCGAAGCTTTCAACAGAGGGAAAGACGTGTCGTCTAAAAATTTTCCAAGTGTTTTGAGCATAGTTATTAAACCCGGCCCGGCCCGGTGGTCGAACTGGTCAAACCGGTGAACGGCCATTAGGTCGGACCGAGTCTTAAATTGGATCGTTTGAGCAACGGGACCGTTGACTAGTCAACGGCCCGGCGGTTGGACCGGGCTAAACCGGAAACCCAGCCGGTTTTGTCCACGGACCAGTTCTGGTGGAAAAATTTTATTACCTTTGTCAAGGCTCGAACCTTGGACCTCCACCAATCACTAACGTATGCTTACCACTAGGCTGCTCCGAAATTTGTTAATAAAAGGTCTTTATTATAATAATATATATATATATGTTTTTTCAATTCTATCTTTTTTTTCTCTAAAATAAATTTATTTGAAATCTTTTAATAAAAATTAGTACCCTCCAAACTCTATAATTTATAAATTGAATTTCAAAAATAACACATTACATAATTCATTTCAAAGACAAATATTAATTTAATAATTTTTTACACTTAAAATTCATAAATAAGCTACATTATTACACTAAATATAGATAAAATTTTACACTTGAAGTTTGGTGTATTACTAAATAACTTTATATTTAATTGATTCTTATATGAATTAATTATTTTATAGCAAATTAAATTAAATGAGCTTTTACTATGGCATTATTTATTACAATTTATATCATATATCTTATATAAAAAATTATGAAATATAATATTTAAATATATTTAGTGATCCAACGGTTGAACCAGTAACCCGTTGACCCACCCCCTTCGCCGGGTTCCTTCCCGGGTTGGGTTTAATAACTATGGTTTTGAGTGTTTTTGTTTAAGAGTTGCCAAAACGACGTCGTTCTGTCTTATTTTCTTCTTCCGCTCTCTACATCTTGAATTTTCAGTTCCCGCTTCCATTTTAGCAAACTACAAAAACTAACGCTTTTAGCCACAAAAGGCCAAATTATTTGAAGCATTTTTTTTTACAAAAATTATGCCTTCTCTAATATCTCTTTTTTTTTCCCATCTATGTGTAAATAAGGCCTTGTTTGGATTGAATTTTTCTGGATTTCTTGTAGAAAAATTTCTATAGCGATTTGATATATATAAGGTAAAAAGATGATTGGAAAATATATTTACAGAAAATGTAGTAATTTTTCTTTGAAAAATTGCTATCCAAACAAAGCCTAAGATTATTTATTATTTTGAGCTTTTTTAACACACAAGTTGTATTAAAACTTTAGAATATGAAATTTAGTGTTTTTAGATATTTTTTTTACTAACATAGGATCCTTTTGGATCTCTATGAAAAATAATATTCAAAAAGTAAAAAAACTTATTAAAAATATGTTTATGATTCAAAAAAATCTTTTAATCACTTTAGTTGATCAAATAACCAAAATAGTTTGCTAATATATGCATGAAACACTAAATGTATTTGGTACAAGTACCGATTCATACACCATAAACAATGTGACTATTGTAATTAATAATATACTCTGGTCATGCAATTGTGAGGATTTTACTTAATTTCACATTAAATTTTATTGTTCTTTGTCATCACTTTCATACTATGCTAATCACTAATTTTTCATGTGTTGCCAAGACAGGGAGTCCATGATATTATTTTACCTTCATAACAAGCTACTAACTAAGTTTGGAATAATTATAAATTATGTATACATTTTTATTACAATACATTCCTCATTTTACTAATGAAAAACATAGGCTAAATTGTAAATGATAGGGTACCATAATAGAATTAATGAAATTGATTTATTACACATGAGGCTAAATTGCAAAAGATAAGATATCATGGTAGAGTTAATGAAATTAGTTTACCACATACGGGGCTAAAATGTAAAAGATAGGGTGTCATAATATAATTAATAAAATTTATTTACAACATATGGGGCTATATTGAAAAATTAGGGTGGCATAGTAGCATTAATGAAAGTGAATTAGGAACAATTACTTTAGATAGTGATGATTAATTGTTGTCACTAATTTTGAACCAGTAACCACATTGTGATAACATTGTAAGTAGTCATTATAGGGCCCATTTCAATGACAACATTTTTTCAAGTCGTCACAATAGTGATTTCCCAGCACACAGGCCAGTTGCGCGCCACCTATATTGTGACGATTAATCCCGTGTTGTCACTGATGATGAGTCTACTCTCGGTCAACTATGATAACATCAAAAGTTGTCACTAAATTTGTCAACTGTGACAATCTTTTCTGTTGTCACTGAGAATGTTGTCACAAAAGGTCAAATTTTTTATAGTGATTCTATTTTGGTGAATTAGTCTAACAGATAATCGAATAATCACTAAAAGTGTGATAACTATTATATCAATTAAAAACTGTTTCGTCGTCATAACTATCATTACTGAAGCATTTTCTCTCAATTAAACATGTTTATGATGCAACTAAAAATGTTTTTTGCAAATAATTGACAATTCAAAAATTCGTCAATTATTAAATTTCGTTTAACACGCCAACATATATTGCAACATACTTCTCTGTCACAGTTTTACTTTATATACATCAAAATATTAAAATATATTTTTTTATAAAAATTTTAGAAAATAGCAATTCAAATGAGCTCATCCCAGAAGGGCTAAAGGGGTCCAT